GTGTTTGTTTCATGGGTGCAAAATCTTCTCATCTTTATATTTCTATTGTACCTTTTCTCTGTTTTTTACTTTCTCCTCCATGTTGAAGGCTCTCCTCAAATGCCTGAGGATCCTTGGTGGTTCATTTGTATTTAGGAATGAGCTCCTAAAGGCTATCTGGGAGCTCTGTGTGTGTGTGGCTTGCCACAAGTAGGGCACAAGTGGCTAGTGAGACCTTTTATACTGGGCACTCCCAACTCTTAGGCTACGTAGATCTTTCTCTGGGTTTAATTGCTCCAGAGAATAACTTTCTAACTTCCTGGCTGGAGTGATTTAAACCCAGCCACTAGCATTCAGGAACCTGTAGGAGAATAGACCCATTCCCCTTTTTTGCACTCCTCACTACAGCCTTCCTTTGTTCCTGGTGTCCTAAGTCCAGATGTTCTCCGATTCTATCTCTCCAGACTATTCTTCCCATTCCCTGGGGGAGTTTGGAGGGGTAGCTGTCTTTTTGCTTGGGGCAGAGGTGAGGATTTGGGAATTTCTAACAATGCCATTCCTTGTCTCACCTCTATCTTCTATAACACCTAAGCCCAATTCCTGAGCCTGGCAGAGAAGGGGACATTACCAAAGAAATACCAAATGGGTAGTTCCAGGAGCTGAAGACAAGGCATAAGTCTTCAGATTAAAGGGCTCACTGAATGGTGAGAAACAAATGAAAAGGCATACATAACTAAACAGACCGTGTCCTGATGAATTTCAGAACTTCAAGGCCAAAGAGTAGATCCTCTACACCTGTCTTCTTTTTTCTCCCGTATTTTACAGTTCTTCATCATTAGATTCTATTCTGAAAAAATTTTTAACTTCTTCTTGCAAACTTTCTACTGAATTTTTTACTGAATTTTCACTGAGGTATCATTAGCACAAAATAAAATGTATACATTTAAAGTACATAATTTTGGGCATCTATATATACCCATGAAACCATCACCACAGTGAAGATAATGAACATATCTGGCACCTTCAAAAGTTTCCTCCTGGTCACCCCTACCTGTTCCTCTCTGATTCGTTTTCCTGTCCCTAAGCAACCACTTACCTGCTTCCTGTCATTCAGATTAGTCTGCTTTTTCTAGAAATTTATGTAAATGGAATTATGTAGCGGGCACTCTTTTTTGCCTGGCTTCTTTTACTCAGCACAGTTGAGACTCGTCCAAGTTATTGCATGTATCAATGGTGCGTTCCTTTCTATTACTGAATAGTATCCCACTGTATGGATATATAACAATTTGTTTACCTGATGAGGAACATGTGGGTTATTTCCAGTTTGGGGCAACTACAAGTAAGCTGCTATAAACATTCCTGTACAAGTCTTTGTATTGTCATATTAGCAATGAACAAATGGAGATTTAAACTAAAAAAATCACTATTGGCAATAGTGTCAGGCTGGTGCAGTGGCTCACGCCTGTAATCCTAGCACTTTGGGAGGCCGAGGCAGGAGGATTACTTGAGGCCAAGAGTTTGAGACCAGACTGAGCAAGAGCAAGACCGTCATCTCTACAAAAAATAGAAAATTTAGCCGGGCGTGGTGGCGTGAGCCTGTAGTCCCAGCTACTTAGGAGGCTGAGGCAGGAGGATCACTTGAGCCCAGGAGTTTGAGGTTGCAGTGAGCTATGATGACACCACTGCACTCTCGCCCGGGTGACAGAGCGAGACATTATCTCAAAAAAAAAAAAAAAATAGTGTTAGGCTGGGCACTGTGGCTCATGCCTATAATCCCAACACTTTGGGAGGCTTAGGTGGGAGGATCCCTTGAGCCCACAGTTCAAGACCAGCCTGAACAACCACAGTGAGACCCTACCTGTACAAAAAATAAAAATTAGAAAAATCAGCCAGGCCTGGTGGCATGTACCTGTAATCCTAGCCACTTGGGAGGCTGAGGCAAGAGAATCACTTGAGCCCAGAATTGGAGGCCGCAGTGACCTATGATCACTCTACTGCACTCCAGCCTGGGTGACAGTGCGAGACTCTTTCTCAAAGAAAACAAA